TCTCTCTCTCTCTCCCTCTCTCTCTCTCCCTCTCTCTCTCTTCTCTCTCCTCTCTTTTTTTTATCAATATTTATAATGTCATTGTTGATTGAACATGTTTTACCGTAATTTAAACTAGTAACTTCACATTTTTAATTTATTTTGTAGCATTTTGAAACCTTAATTATCTGGCCTCGTTCTACCTAAGAAGTAATGTTACACTGTAAAACAAGTGAAATTAACAAGGTGTGATCAATTAAAGACCGGACTGATTTTATTACTTATTTATTTTGATAGATATGACTCATTTGAGTTTGTACCCTGAAAGTCGTTTATTTTGGCTCACTACACATCTGTCCCAATGTTTCTTCCAGCTCTCGAACTCCACTCCACTCAACTCCACTTTAGAGATGCTCTTCAGGTCCACTGTACAATTGGTTTTGACATTCAAATTTGACTCGAGTAGGTGACCTTTAAAGCTTGACCTTTGGGGTTTGGGACCTTTAAAGGTTGACCTACCTCGGGAACAAAAAATTTCAGCTGGAGCCACATCTGCAGAATAGAGTGGCTACAGGATCACGGAACTACCAGTTTTGGCAAAAAAAATTGTTCATGATCAGCGCCGTGTGAGCCAGCGTGTTGTCGTGGTAGATACAAATATTGATGCGGCGCACAACATGACCAAAATTTTTGTCAAAAGGGTCTGACAGGATCGAAAACTAATATTCATTTTGCTAACAGCCATTTGCCAAACCCAAATCACTCACCAATTTGGTGTGGTTGGCGTCTGTCATTGTGGAAGGCCACCCCGTTCGTAATTCTCTATCTGCCAAGTTTCTTCCTGATTTGAAGCTACTGTACTACTCAAAACACTGATTTTGAATCATAACATTATCTCCAAAGGCTTGTTGAATAATTTCTAAGGTTTCCGTTACACTTTTGCTAAGTTTGATACAAAATTTCATGCACACACACTGTTCCTTCAACTCCTTCAGTTTTGTCGTTGCGCAGAGGGACGAAAATGTTCACACAAATGTCACTGTTGCTGTTTAATGGCTAAATGTAAACAAACGCAACACTTCACGTTTAACTTGTCAAATGGCGCAACCTTCCTCGTTTAGATTGGTTGAACAGTTTGCACACAGTAAAATCAGTCTTCTGTTTTATTGATTACACCTTGTATGTCAATAAAACGTGTGAAACTTTAAATTGTCAACTCTTTTTCTCATAAGAGATATCATTCAATATAGTTTGTATTTAATGGTGCATTGTTTTTTTGATTAAAAGTTTCTTTTCAAACATCGCATTTCATAAGGAAACAAGTTTTCAAGTTTTATTCATAAATATGTTTATAAAAAGCAAATTTACATTTAAGAAAAAGTTGACAAATATTTTTATTATTGTTGTACTTGTCAAAAACTTATTTTTTATTATGAAAGTTGGTCAGATATGAAAAAAACCCTTTATTAAGTCTGTTCTAAGTGTGTGTGAATAAAGAATCTCGAATCTTTCCAAAATGCTATATCTTAAATGAAAGTGTATTTGACTGCTGTATCACTTGGAAACTTCATATCTTTTGGAACTGAATATAAGCATGCCCCTTCAAACATGTAAATCAAACATGGTTTTTGTTTACTCATAAATTGTTCATGTTCTTGTTTTTTCCTCTAACTTCTCAAGTCATGTGTTAGGCCTTGGTGTTTTACCCGTATCACCTCTAAATGCTTTGGGATCCTCTAATGACAGTAGTACTGTGTAAACCCGAAATGGATCTTTTTTAAACATTCATAGAGCTAACTTGATTATTGATGTGGAAAGGATCATAATTCTAAAGTGTTGCAAGAAACGTTAGATATGCTGCTTGAAAAATTGGAAATTTAAGGATATCGAAGTATATTACTTAATGGGTGTATCATGTGTGTTAACAACTTAAAAGTACCGAATAAAATTTATGTAACTTTGTTACACTAATCGTATTAGAAAACACCGGTTCTTTACTTCTATCTTTTATCTCTGGTAATGTGATATATAGTTCATATTTTCTCAGCTAGTACAACACGTAGCACATTTTCAAATAATTTATAATGCTAAATATCTTAAATTTTATTTTCTCAGTTGCAGTTCTCTATTGCATCTCTTGGTTACATAATGCTTTTTTTAGAATAGGAATGATATAGTTAAAATGTCAACAGATAATGTTTTAATTAATCAGATATGACTGTTCTCCAGTTAGGAGCTTGGTACTTGCCTGCTTGGTGACGTTCAAGCTCTCGATTGGATGACAGCATCACAGCTGGTTGTCAGCGGATTTAATGTTTTAATCGAAATATAACCAATTTATTGTCATTGCTTGCTTTTCTCTACTCCACGAAACTCATTTTACAGCATCATTCCATGGACTTTTTATTTTAATCCTGACCATCCAAGATCTTTGCATGACTACCCCTTCCTCAAAGTCTCAAGAATAGTAGCACCTTAGTGGACTAGTAAGGGTGCATTGCAGGAAACCTCCCACTTAAAAATAAATTACTCATTTAGGCGTGCCTGCTCTTCCCTGTGGCTCTTAACTGACGAAGCCTGTACGCTATCTCAATTGGTTTCATTTGTGTGTAACTGAATTAGACCAAGGTCCCAACTTAGCTGTTCCTAGTGGTGCATGATATGAAGTATTGATGAATAAAGTGATGAAAGAATGAATGAATAAATGACAGTGGGAGATGTGCTGCATTGAACTATGAAATAACTACCTCGCCACAAATGCATGCCTCGAGCATGGATAGAACCATTGCCTTTAGAATGTCAGTCACAGACTTTTCCCATTATGCTGTCAGGTTGCTCATAATACATTATTTATTATTGTATTAAACAGATTTGATAAATAAAATTAATTTCCTTACTTGTTTTCTTCTAGTGAAATATATACTTCTCTCGTTTTAACAGTTCTTAGTGTTTATGTAAAGTCTTGATTCAATTATTTTAAGCTTGTAGCTCTTTGTTTTAAGACTTTCATTATAATTAAATTATTTTGTTTTGTTTAAGTCATTTTTCACAGTTTCAACAAACTTGTTGACGAGATTTTAAATAAAGGTGTAAATGAAATCTCAATATTCAAAACAGTTAGCGCTCAAATGACTATTTTCAGTGTGCTTTTGAAGCAGTTGATGATTTAGACACATTTAATGTAAATTGAAATATTTTTCTGTTGTGAATAAAATTTTATAACTGTTTAAAAAGATCTCTAGAGAGCTAATATCTTCATTCCAAGAACTCTTAATTAATTGACTAATAATTAGCAAATATTTTAATATTTATTAATGCTGCTTATTCTTTACCTTACAGATTATCTGTTCTCCTGATGTATTTTTTTACTGTCTGATGAAAAAAGTTTCACTACGCTTTAAGTGTATCATTAATCAAACTTGATTTTGATAGTACTAATACATTGACTAACGATATATCTATTGGAAAAGTTTATATTCTTTTCAATTTCAGTAAATGTGTTTAAAATTTTGTGGTACAAATTACAATTTACCCGAGTATTTTCAAATCATGATTATGTTACATCTCAGGTGAATGTGCTGTGAATATGTTGCATTGTCATTGGGGCTTTAATTGCAAGTGTAAAAATGTGTTTACCAATGTATTGATTTGAAAATTTTGGATCTGGAGCCCTTGTGACATGTTAACAAATTTGTGTTTAACACAAACTTAGAACGTTTTTTTCTGTGTGAAAGGATAAAATTCTTAGGTTTCTTAGACATTTTGAAAGAAGGGCGGGATCTTGTTGACACTAGAAGTTAGCATGAGGTTTCTGTTTGGGAAGCATGGATTGAATCTTTTTGCAACTAATTTGTTACGCTCTGCGTGACACTCTTCTGTTCTTGCAGGTGGAAAGACTCCTGATCTGGGATCTCGGACCTACACTGAAATTATGAAAGAACAGTTACTTAGAGGTGAAGAAAATGAAGTAAGTGGTCTCATTCATGTATTTTAAAAATTTGAACATGGACATTATTGTAGTGTGTTTGTACTACTGTGCTCTTTCTTTTTGTTTGGTTTGTAGTTACGGAAGAAGATTGCTGAGAAGTCAAAAGATGGTACGTTAAAAGTAGTGAGCAATGGGGACATGCCGAAGTCTGCACCCAAAAGACGGGGCAGATGGGATCAAACTGGAGGAGATGAAGCTAGTGCTCCAGCAAAAAAGAAAGTTGCTGGAGGAACTTTAACAACTGGGTCATCTTGGGACAAAGAAGACGTAAGTTAAAATTTAGCTGATTTACTATTCATTTTAGAGAGAATATTCATTTATTGAGAACATTTGGAAATAGAGACAGTTTTCACCTTTTTCTCTTCATAGATACTTACGTTATGAAATTGCTTTTCCATATAATAATTTGTATTTTTTGTAGGCTACACCTGCCTCAACAAGATGGGATGAGACTCCAGGACACAAAGGAAGTGAAACTCCTGGAGCTACACCTGGCCAAAGCACTAGAATATGGGATGCCACACCTGGTCATGCAACACCTGGCCATGCAACACCTGGCAGAGAAACCCCCGCGCATGACAAATCTGCCAGTAGACGCAATCGATGGGATGAAACACCAAAAACAGAAAGGGGTAATTACATATATTCACTTCTTGTTGCCACTTAGTCTGTCAGGATTGACTGTAAGATACACTTAGACTTTTATCTCTTACTGTTGTGTTCTTTCTATTGATACCTTTTCTGTTTGTATAAGTTATGGAAATCAAGTTTTTCTCATATGTGCACACTAAAGTGGAAATAAGAATTGAAAAAATAAAGTTGACATACAGATGATGATTAATTTGATGTTAATTTTGTGAGATACAGTACCATCATCTAATAAATGTTATTTTTACAGAAACTCCTGGTCACAGTAGTGGTTGGGCTGAGACTCCTCGTACGGACCGTACTGCTGGTGATTTAATTCAAGAGACACCAACACCTTCTGCCAGCAAGCGTCGGAGTAGATGGGATGAGACTCCATCGAGTCAAATGACCCCTGGTGGTATGACACCACAAACACCAGGCACTCCTCATACACCTCATGGCACACCCCATGGAACGCCCCATGCCACACCCTCTATGATGACTCCTAGTGGAGTTACTCCAACTGGGCAGAAAGCAATGGCTATGGCGACTCCCACTCCAGGTATGAGAGTTACCCCAAGGTATTCAGAGTTGTAAATATCAATCTTTCAGATATCCAACTTGTTCTTGTTTTACGAGTATTCATCTGTGTGTTTCCACTTGTATCCTTAATAAGGATTTGGCGTTAATTGACTATACTTATTAAATAAAATGGTGGGCCTTACGGCAGTATTTATTTTTGAACATAGTTTATTGTATATTGATACATATAAAGTATCAAGTAGATGATATTTGTATGAATTAAATATAATTGCACAACAATTGATTGATTATATTTGCTAGTGTTTGGAATATAATTTTTCAAAATAGTGTGTTTAATCAGTTTTAAAAGTAAATATAAATAATAAAAAAACATTTAAAATTATCGAAATTCAGGGCTATATGGATAATGGAGCCTTGGGCTTTGATGCTCTTTATAAAGCTTGCACTTTACTCTGAGTTTCGGAGATTCTTCTTAGTTTCTTATGAATAAAGTGGGTGGACAATTGCTCAGTCTCTGAGCGTACTCTCAACTAGCAAGCAAATGTTCAGAATTGGTATGACTAAAGTTAAGCATTTACTCACTAGATTGAGCACTTGCTCCAAAATTTCGAAGGGACCTTAGTCCTTAGTTGCTCGTCTCTACTCTGAACTTCAAAGATTTTATTCATACGAAATGAAGTTGATGCTTATTGCCGCGGAGTAGACTCACTTTCCTCTGGAGCGAGTGCTCATTTTTATTCATATGACCCAATGTACTTAACATATACCACACATTCTTAAATTTTTGTTTTAGGTCACTTGGCAACTATGACTCCTGAACAGCTTCAAGCTTATAGATGGGAAAGAGAGATAGATGAAAGAAATAGACCGCTTTCAGATGATGAACTGGATGCAATGTTCCCACCTGGATATAAAATACTTCAGCAACCAGATGGTAAGTTTATGTGATATTAAAACTTGAGAAGTAAGAAAATAGTGTAGCACTCAAAATTCACGACATTTATTGACTGCAAATAAAGCAATGCACCATGGACAATAATATTGAAGTGGAATTAGTCAAACAAACAAGAAAATTCAGATCTTGAAACTTTTTCAATGAAGTTTTTACTTTCTCTCCATCATAAGAATAGAAAGAATTGTAATCATGCGCAGGCAAATTTTTGAAAAGAAAAAAATCTCTAATGCTAATCCCTGGTATCAAAAAAGTAAATAAATCTTTTTCCTAAATTTAGTAAATTACTTCGTCTAATGTGTTGTGTAGTCAGAATCCATGCTTTGTGAGTCCTTGATCCTGAAACATTGATATAAAGGTCGCAAAATGTGTGTGTCTGTCTGCAGTCAATGCTTGTGCAATAACTGTTCATATGATTTTCTTCAAGATTGATATTCCTTAATTGATCAGTTTGATTGATTCCTTAACAAACTCAAGGCCCTGGGAGTTTCAAATGGATATTTTGATTTTTGGCTGTACACCAATACACTATATGTAGCCTCTAAATTTCAAAAGTTTTTCAAAATTAGTTCTAAATTTTTGATTTAGAATTCACTCTTAGTGTAAGAGGGTTTCATAAGAAAGGTAGAGGTCTCATTTTTGTGGAAATCCTTGATTTTTCAAGTTAGCAAAAGTTCAATATTCCTTTTGGCATCTTCTTTTAACCCATGAACATCCAAATAATTTTTCAAAAGTTCGTACTTGATTTCACCTTTATTGGGGTAAATTATTAATAAAACCTGTAAATCTGAAGGTTTTTTTAAAATTTACGTCTTTCATTCTTGAAATTTTGTTGATACCATAATGGTATCATAAGGTGCTTATAGAGGCTTTAAGAAAAAAAAAAAAAATAATTTAAAAACTTTTATTATATATTAAATGGGAGTGACAAATGGCAAGTAACAAACATAGAAATCCATTGTACAAATAATTACAATTTAAGAAATTTTTAAAAACACTTAAAGCGTAGTCCTACATTGCATTTTCCTCACGATTATTCAAATGAAGAGCAACCTTCTTCACCAGCACATAGTTGTCTAAGGATTATGTTGATAGGATTAAGCCCATCAAATCTTAGATCAGGTAAAAGATTTTTTGAGATTGAAAGCTGTTATACACATTTAATGCGAATGCCATAAGTGTCTGAGCCACTGGTCTAAGGAATTTCAACTGATGGGTTTGGTTGGCTTCTTGGCTGTCCAGGTGAGGCTTCATCATTGGCTGAGTTGTTGGGATTCTCAGCCAATGACACAGCGTCACCCGGACATCCAAGAAGTCGAACTTGAGCCGTAGAATCTTACGCGTAGATTTGACTTGTTTGTTTGGTTTTTTGTACAAAAACCAGACGTTCATCAGAGGCGTCCAACAATCATGTGAGAATGGGGTAGTACCACTTTTTTTATTGTATTTTGATTCTATGTTGTGCAATTACTGGATGTGAATGGTCAATGCCGCCCATGTTTGCATTGCAATGTGCTGTGCATTTATACTTCGTTTTGCAACACAAATTTTAAGTCAGTTTTTCAATGTTCTTCAAAGGTTTTAATTTTGGGCCACCGAGGATTAGCAGTACCCTAAATTAGAGATGTTAAAATTTTATTAGTTAAACTTTCACTTTGGTTAATCATTTTCTTATTCTTATGAACAAATATTTGCGGTAGTTTACATATTCTGTTGTACATTATATTATACAAAAATAATTTTTTTGAAATTATTTATAAAATTGTTGGTCTTTATTTTTGGGGAGAATATCGAAGACTTATAAATTCCATTTATCAGTTGCAAATGATCTTGAGTTGTCCTCAAAAGTTCAATACTGGCTAAAAGTTTTTGGATTCTTGTTTGAAAATAATTTATTATTACACATTCTATTACAGGATATATACCTATTCGCACTCCAGCCCGAAAGCTAACAGCCACTCCTACACCCATTGCTGGTACCCCAGCAGGATTTTTCATCCAAACCGAAGACAAATCTGCAAAATACATGGACAACCAGCCGAAAGGTAATCTCCCTTTCATGAAGCCAGAAGATGCACAATATTTTGACAAATTATTGGTAAGTAGTTTGTTCAGGCGTTGTACTTTTGAGTTACATTTTTGTGCTTACTTTGATTAAAAATGTTATTTTGGTAGGTGGATGTTGATGAAGAAAGTCTCAGTCCAGAAGAGCAAAAGGAACGCAGGATTATGAAGCTTCTCTTGAAGATCAAGAATGGTACACCACCTATGCGTAAGGCTGCTTTACGACAAATTACAGACAAGGCTCGTGAATTTGGGGCTGGTCCGCTCTTTAATCAAATTTTACCTCTTCTAATGTCACCGACCTTGGAAGATCAAGAAAGACATTTATTAGTGAAAGTCATTGATCGTATTCTTTATAAGTTAGATGACTTGGTTCGACCCTATGTGCATAAGGTATTGTGAAACTCCACTGTTTGTTCTGCTAGCTTTATATTGCTGTTATGTTTCTATGAAGTCTCTTCAGTGAGTCAATTTATTCTGATTCTGAACTCTCACAGATACTTGTGGTTATTGAACCTCTCCTGATTGATGAAGATTACTATGCACGTGTGGAAGGAAGAGAAATTATTTCTAATTTAGCAAAAGCTGCTGGCCTTGCAACCATGATTTCAACAATGCGACCTGATATTGATAACATTGATGAATATGTGCGTAACACGACAGCTCGAGCTTTTGCTGTTGTTGCATCAGCATTGGGTATCCCATCGTTGTTGCCGTTCTTAAAAGCTGTGTGTCGTAGTAAAAAGTCTTGGCAAGCTCGTCACACTGGAATAAAAATTGTTCAACAAATTGCCATTCTTATGGGATGTGCTATTTTGCCTCATTTGAAGAGTTTAGTTGACATCATTGAACATGGTAAGAATGATTTAATTTTATACCTATTATGGACTTCATTTGGAATTCATACTTGACAATTAAAGAAAGTGCTCCTTGATGGACCAGTTCTGATTTATAGCGAGTTCTCAGTCTTAAATTGAAGTAGGAATTGGTGCCAATGTATTTCTATAAGGAGCCTGTATCTTTGTGTTCATTTTTGCCTCATCAATTTAGATTGTGTCAGATTGTAGTAATATTACTATGATGAGATCACTGATTTTGCTGATGCTTTTGGGGCCATCCATAAATTATGTAACTCAAATTTAAAGTATTTTAAATCCAGCATATCGCCTTTGTGATCTCGGTGCATATTATAGATCAGTTTTAAGGAATAATGTAATGCTAAAGGGTACCTTTATTCGTTAATAGTAAACTATTAATTCAGCTTAAAAACTGCTGTACAGGTTTGGTTGACGAGCAACAGAAAGTCCGTACCATTACTGCTTTGGCAATTGCTGCATTGGCTGAAGCAGCAACTCCATATGGCATTGAAAGCTTTGATTCTGTGCTGAAACCCTTATGGAAGGGTATTCGTACTCATCGTGGAAAAGTAAGTAATTTTTTAAAATATTGGTGAACTAAATACTGATTTATATTTCCTGAACGAAAATATTTTGCAACTAGAAATAGACAAATTCAGAACTTGTACTGGCTTGTACAAAATAAAACTTTTTATTAATAATGTAGTTGGATTACATTATAAAAATAAATGTATTGTTTCTTGTTATAGGGATTGGCTGCATTTCTAAAAGCTATTGGCTATTTGATTCCTTTGATGGATGCTGAGTACGCTAATTATTATACAAGAGAAGTGATGCTTATTTTGATTCGAGAGTTTCAGTCTCCAGATGAAGAAATGAAAAAAATTGTATTGAAAGTAGTAAAACAGTGTTGTGGGACTGATGGTGTGGAGTCACAGTATATTAAAGATGAAATTCTGCCACATTTTTTCAAACATTTTTGGAATCATAGAATGGCATTAGATCGTCGTAACTACAGACAGGTATTCACATATTTTTGTGTGTAACCAGTTATTTATGTCCTTAAAAAAAAAAGGAGTTGTAAATGATGAAAACTTCTTTTGCAGTTGGTTGATACTACAGTTGAAATTGCTAATAAAGTAGGAGCATCAGAAATCATAAACAGAGTAGTGGATGACCTGAAAGATGAAAATGAACAGTACCGTAAAATGGTCATGGAAACAATTGAAAAAATTATGGGTAATTTGGGAGCTGCAGATATCGATTCTCGCCTTGAAGAACAATTGATAGATGGTATTTTGTATGCTTTTCAAGAACAGACCACTGAGGTAATGTGTGGATTAAGCTGGCAAAAACTCTTTTATTGTTACTTGATATGCTAAAAACAATGTTTTTCTGTACATCACTGTTTGTAATCTTGGAGCTTTTAGAGTTTCGTGAGCTTTGCTACTCATGTTGGTTTTCGTGATGATGCTTTAGCCTTCACCTATATGATTAACATAAAATATCCTTGAGTCTGCCCAATGCATTTTATTCAGTAACTTTTTGTCAAACCTGTTCAACTTGATGCTTGACACTTCAGTGTCTTTCAAAGTTCCTGACGAGGCTCCAGCTTTTCGCTTAAATGATTAATTGATATAAAAGAGTCTTGAACCTGTCCATTGTATAAATTCCTACATGTTATACGCCAAAATTCTTTTTAATTTTTTAAATTGCGCTATTTTCATTTAAACTAGAAAGCAGAATGCCCATTTTCCTGCTACTTGTTCTCCACTTTTATTCACCACTCTCCCAACATCAGAGTTGAATTGTTACGTTAAGGGATAAGAAACATTGTACAAGTTCTTTACTCTATTCCAAGTATAAAATTAATCAAATTATTGTTCTCTGTGCACAGAAGTAACATTGGTGCAATCTTGAGGTATTTAAAACGAAGGAAAGAAGTATACTCTGCACAAACTAACTTTCATTTTTAATATTTCAGGATGTGGTAATGCTTAATGGATTTGGAACAATTGTTAATCAGTTGGGTAAGAGAGTTAAACCATATTTGCCTCAAATCTGTGGTACAATTTTGTGGCGACTTAATAATAAATCTGCAAAAGTACGTCAGCAAGCAGCTGATCTTATATCAAGGATAGCAGTTGTTATGAAGACTTGTCAGGAGGTATAAAAATAGTATAATTGAATTCTTAGGGCCGAATTCGTAGAAGTCACTTATAGGATAAGTGAACCCTTAAGTGATAAGGGTTTCCTCAAAATAAGTGTTCACTTATAGGCGCTCGTATTCTTGAGATGTTCCTTACAACGATGGATTGAATGTTCCCTTAAGCAGAAGGGAAATGTGGCCACATGGCATTGGCGGCAGCTGTTTTGAATATCTTGGCAACAGAGTTTACACACACACTTCAACTTGTACAAAGAGTGTCCAATTTAACAGGGGGCGGACCCTCCAATGTAGAGTAGATGTCGTGCACACGACGTAATACTTCTACTATATCTAATATGCCCTCATACAGACAAAGTGAGATGTTTTGGTAATGATATATTTTACTAATGTGTTTACTATCAATCACTATTAGCAAGCAGATTTATAACAATGTAATCTCCGATTCTCATATCAATTCTCATTTCAATAAACTATTGGACACCAGTATCATGTTAATATTTTAAAAATGTATTTATTACAAATCCCTAATAATAATAATAAATGTTTGGATAAATCTCTGCAATGTCTTGTGCATTTTCTACATATTATTGATTTACATTATTGGATTGTAATATAATACTTAAAATCAGTTTCAATTGATTCCACGTTAACTTATGCTCTAGTATGACTAATGTACATGGTATGAACATAGGTCTGCCAATATTAGTAATGGATTATTAACATTTCATGTAATTGAAAATATCAACCCTATATTATAGTATTAACATAAATTCCATTTTACAACTACTTAATTACTTGTTATTCAATTGCAAATTCATAATTACTTATAATAGGTCTTATAAATCAGTAATGAATAAAACTTAAAAATTTGAAATCCTGAAAGGTTGAAGTGGCATAAATTCTTTTTGCAACGAAAACTTTTAATTATGGGGAAATCGGCAGCCCTCTTTTAGTCATTGGGACTTCATCGAACTACAGTAGTTTTATTGAACCGAAACCTCTTTCGAAATTGTTCATCATTGTACATTTCCAATGAGTTGCTCGTATCTCTAATATATCTCTTTGAATACACAGAATGGGTTGAGTATAAAACTCAAAATAATCTTTGAAGTTTTTTCCATAACATGTTTCACAAATGGTACGTTTTAACTGTCTACACTATACAAACCCAACAAACGAATTGAATAGTCCGTGAACACCGCGTTAAAGTATAACCTGAACTGGTTATGACTGACGATGCGAGAGAGCCATAAGGGACACTTAAGGGAGCAGGCTGCCTCGCCTATGGGAATGAGTACTCACTTAAGATGTTACTTAAGAGCTGTTTATGAATATGATTCATCCACTTAAGGGAACACTCATTGCAAGTGATGACTATGAATTCTGCTCTTAAAATAGGTTATTTCATGTGCTTGGAGTGTAAAATTCTGTGTCTGTTTATAGGAAAAGTTAATGGGACATTTAGGTGTTGTGCTGTATGAATACTTGGGAGAAGAATATCCTGAGGTTTTAGGCAGCATTCTGGGAGCTCTAAAAGCTATTGTGAATGTCATTGGCATGACAAAAATGACACCTCCTATTAAAGATCTTCTTCCAAGATTAACTCCAATTCTTAAAAACAGGCATGAAAAGGTGAGTAGGTTTCGTTTACAAGTGAATACATTTTTTAAAATCCTGTGAAGGAGGGAGAGATTTCAATTGTAGATTTCAGTAATTTGTAAACATTTATATCTTTGTTTCTAGGTACAAGAAAATTGCATTGATCTTGTTGGCCGTATAGCAGATAGAGGCCCTGAATATGTATCTGCCCGTGAATGGATGCGCATTTGTTTTGAATTACTCGAATTGCTGAAAGCACATAAGAAAGCTATAAGACGAGCTACTGTGAACACATTTGGTTACATTGCGAAAGCAATTGGGTAAGTTCTTTGGTCTGCAGTTTTTATTTGAGTTTTGTTTTGGCAGTTTTTTATTTATTTATTTATTTTTTCAGTCCCCATGATGTATTGGCAACTCTGCTGAACAATTTAAAAGTGCAAGAGAGGCAAAACAGAGTGTGCACAACCGTGGCTATTGCAATTGTGGCAGAGACATGTTCTCCTTTCACTGTCTTGCCAGCTCTAATGAATGAATATAGAGTACCAGAGTTAAATGTTCAGAATGGTGTTTTGAAATCCCTTTCATTTTTATTTGAATACATCGGTGAGATGGGCAAAGATTACATATATGCTGTGACACCGCTTCTAGAAGATGCACTAATGGATCGGTGAGTATTGCTAGTGATACCGATGATTGATATTTGTTAAGTCATGCCGTCGTAGGTACAAAAAGCAGATACTCCCAAGTGACTTCTCTTTTTCCATTAATTGTAATGAAATCTAAAGATTGTAATGTTTGTTTAGAAACAATTAATTGTTGCTGAAGGATTCACAGTAATGAATTAAATTATGTCCTTAATATATTTATCAGAATATAATTTGTTCAATCGTGTAAGCATTAATTTTGCTACTTATTATATCCAAACTAAATTGTGGTGTATTGTTATTAAGAGCAACAAAAATTTTAGAAATTTTAGTTGCTACAATGTAGAAGTGTTCACATTCATTTCACATATCACTTGTGTTGGTGCTTTGGTACTCCCTAATTTTTTTGCCCTTTTTCCAACTGGAAAGTGTTCGCAACAAAACAGTTCATTTATGTTACAATTCAAGAAACGTGCTCTTAAAAATTCTATTTAAAAAAATAATTGTTGCTTGGTTTACTCTTTGATTAATAGATAGTATAATAAAAATTCACTTACACTTTTTTCAAGGGACTGAAGGGAAATAAAAAGTGAGACAAACACACAATTAAAATTGAATATCATCAGAAAAACAAAAACTCAATATTTTTACATTGGTGCACTCACTCTTGGATCAACATTACTTGTGATTTATTTAGTCAAAGAACAGAAAAATCTGTAAGTGATGTATTGAGGAGAGGTACCATCTGCACATGTTTTCTTGAGCTCCAGAATCCCATCAAAATTTTAACTACAAATAGTTAAATCATGAATACATTCAAAAGAAGCAAAATTGGCTTCTTGAGAAATCTAGACATTTTCGCTCCCAAGTTATAGAAAACCTATTTGCATCAGAAAACCAACTGCAGATTTTATTTTATTTTTGTATTGCTAACAAAAGAGTACCCCACCCCAACCTACCTACCCTCACTCTAATCCTACCTCTACTAGTAAACGGAGAAGCTATATTTACGTCCAGAAACAAAACAAGGTGCCATCTCGGAAATTTGTTCTTTGAATTGCTGAAACAGGACAAAATTCTGATGGAGACTGGTAGCAGAAGTGCAGGTCATTGATCCAGGGGCTCAAGTACATTACTTGTTTCTTAGAAGGCATGAATGGCCAGGCATAGGCACACCCAGTGGAAAAGTTGTCACTGATATTCACACTTCATGCAACCAGTCCAGTAGGCCTGTGTCACAGGAGCGGTGTTAAGGTGCGTCACCTACTGCTGATGACATCCGCTGCAACAACACATGTCGATGCCTATGTACACAAGTTCCTTGATGCGCATTGTAGATTAACACAGCACACAATCAGTCTTGACGACGTGCGTTGTGTCTTTTGGTCAATGTAAATCATAATGCACGTTTTCTAGCTTTCAACTCTTGACGACTTCTAGGCTGAGTACTGAATTCAACACAAAAATTCTGTGGTTTCCTCTATGATTACATACATGATCTCACTTATGTTAGGAGGTTATACAATCAGTACTTTCGTTGTGAATGTATAAGCGACAAAAATTTAAATACATAAAGCGCAAATCTGAAATAATTTTGCATGAGAAGAATAGGAATTTATCCAGGACTTACAGAAAACTACTTATAAATGTGAAAAACATATAAGGGCAAAATGATAAAACAGTTTCACTGTATATTGCATGTTTAGTTTGTGGACTGTGTATCTTCACTGTACTTTGCTTTCCTTTAAGTTTCTCGATCAAAGAATTCAGTTTAATATTCTCCCATGCTTTTCAACATAATTTGTATTAGTTCCTAAAATGTTCTTTTTAGTTATTGTATTTGAACACACTAAATCATTTGGAAAGCTATCACTGAACTGACACTTCCAAGGCATTATTAGCTGGCATTCAGCGCATTAGGCTCTTGGAAGGATACATTTTGGAAGGTGATGTGATTTTCAGCAATGATAAACTGTTTTCGAACCTATCAAAATAATTTTCCTCTGGCCCCAACTGACTGCACTTTTGTCCATAATACTGTAGATACATTTAAGTGGTCAATAGTTTCTGGAAACGTAACAATCTTATTTCTTCGTACTAATATGTAATTACTGCCACATTTTTAGTGATGCTGTTTTTCAGAAAAATAATATTTATTTTTATATATATATATATATATATATATATATATATATATATATATATATATGGTAGTTGTAGATACTCAGTCTGTTTGCTTAAAAGTTTGTACATTAAAATCATGCGACTTTAAATGATTAATATGAATATTATGGCCATTAGGTGGTTTTGAAAAAAAAAAAGAAGTGAAACAAAGCACTGTATAAAAAGTGAACAACAATGCTAATTTTTATTTTCTTGTGCTTCAGAAGGAACTTCTAAGAGAAAATTTTGTAATGCTGCGCTATAAAACTGAATTTTCGGCAGAAAAACTCTTTATTACAGGACCCTGGTAACGAAAATTTGAATAAATCGAGTTTCTAAATTTAGGGGGCGGGGGAAATTCTCTTAACACATGGTGTAGCCAGAATCCATATGAGTCTTCGATACCGAAAAATAGTTTGAAAGCAAAACAACTCCATCTGTCTGTGATCAACGCTTGCAGCTAAACCAATTCTGTCGAATTTCTCTAAAAATTAATATTCCACAATTAATCTCGCTTGGTCCCATGCATTTGAAACATATTTTTTAATTTTATAACATATGAATTCCTTGGGACATTTTTAAAATAACAGAAATATTTCCAGCAATTTTGATTAAATTTTGCTGGTGGATAGTCTGACGTATGTCGTACTTGCGTACGTCCAGCATCAACAAAGAATCAAAATATTTTGAGCAAACTGGTTTTTATCTCTTTGGAGACTTATCAATATTTAACTAAAAATTATTCAATAAAATAACTGTTTGGGAAGATATTGGTTAATGTGTTTCACATTGTTGATATGTAGCAAAAAAATGAAAAGAAAATCCGTGACTATAACATTGTAGCACAGGGAACTGACACTGGATCTAACACTTCAAGAACAATATTTAATTTCTCCTATGGGACACACTAGAGTTGCTGTTTTGACCATTGTATAGGTACCATGACAAATGCACAAGATCATTAACATTTTTATCTCTGCATTGGTAGCAGATAATTTATCCATGTGCTTTCATTATGTTTCTGTGATTCACTGTGGCAAACTGCTTTACCATGAAAAAAGGAGTTTCACTTTAAAAATATATGAAACAGTGAATGAAATGTACAAATTGGGGGGAACTATCGTTCTGCACAAGTAACAGATAATTTAATTTGCTTCGGGATTTCATAAACTTTTTTAAACTTCAACTTTAATAAATTTTACTAAACTTTGATAAACAACTTTTTTAAACCTTAAAGAGTTTGAATTTTGTCATTTCTTGAAGTGATTCAGAGTTCTTCTATCGGAGGACTGAGAATGCGTTATGTATTAAATTATACGTATGAATAAAGGGTTTATACATGAATGAAATACACCTAATATACCCAACAACAGACTCAATTGGATTTATCTGAAGTACCTACTATGGCTGCCGAAGTTATGTAAACTTACTTGTGCATTAAATGTAATCATTGAAAATAAGTCAAAGAGTATTGCTCTATGGAGTGAACATTGCTCTTCAAGATGATCCTTTTGTTAAAGTGCTAATTTTTCTCTATACTATAATTTTCATTTGCAACTTTTTCCCTTTTTTTCAGAGATCTTGTTCATCGGCAGACTGCGTGTGCAGCCATTAAGCACATGGCTTTAGGAGTATACGGATTTGGATGCGAGGATGCATTGATTCATCTTCTTAATCATGTGTGGCCCAATATCTTCGAAACATCCCCTCATTTGGTACAAGCTTTCATGGATTCAATTGAAGGTTTGCGAGTTGCGTTAGGACCAAACAAAATTTTACAATATGTCCTGCAGGCAAGTATTTTGACAATTTTAATCTGTTGGTTAAGGCCAGTTTTTGTGCAGAGCGGCCATGCAGTCCGGACTGCTTAAAAACTTTTGAGCACGTTAGATAATTTTCAAACAGAAACACAGTTTTACTTAAAATTTTCTTGTGGTTGACTCTTTTACTAAAGGCTTTCTTTACACTGGAAATAGTTCCTTTTCGATTTTGTGGTTAAGTTAGGTTAGGTTAGGTTAGGTTAGGTGTGATTTGTAAGATTTTGTGTATTTCTGGTGTAAGATTTTGTGTAGCCTCTCTGGTTTTTCTTAGTGTGTTTCATTAAATGCTTAAAAAACTATTTATATAGAAGCTCTGAATGCACATATACAAATGTTGGGAACGAATGTATTTGGATAACGCAATTCAGAAATTTGTGTCTAAGCAAAGCCCCTGATGGTGAGTAGTGGCAAATCACATGAAAAACATGCAAACTGTGTAAACACACATTTTTGGCTTTTATACTTCTAGTTGGAGATCTTGAAGTTTCTAGGAGAGAATGTGCATAAAAACAGTTTCATTTAAATGTAGACATTTTGAGGTTAAAAAGAAACAATTTCTCATTCCATCAATCAAGACAAGTGATTTTGTTAAGGTAGTATGTTCCTTAGATTGACCTTGGTGAAGTTCCGTCAAAAAGTTCTTTAAATGTACTTAAATTTAATTTTTTAGTAAAAGAAGTTTGATTTTGTACATGCTCTTATGTAAAAACTTTTGCGGGCATTTGTTTTTGAAGTTATTGAAGAAGTTAAACAGTGATATCTGTTTTCCTTTTTTTTTTTATTCAATAGTAATTTTTAGGAATCAGACAGTATTAAATGTAACATACGTCACTGGACATTCTGAAGTGTAATTTACAAAAACCTGCTGCGAAATTCATCGCAATGGGAAGTACTTGCTCTCGGCCTACGAGATATGCTGTACATGTCATTCTATTGTTACCACTGTTTCTCTTGGGGTATGAGATAAAACTACCCTAACTTGAAATTTTGTACTACTCACTATGTCAGACTATTTGACTAATTCACTTTCACTGTAAACAATATGGACTTAATATTCAATGCAGAAAGAGAGAAAAAGGATGGGCACCATTGTCAAACTAACCTATAATAGATATTGCCAATTTGTGAAAATGAAGGATCATGCGAGACTTTATATCTTCTTTCCTGGAAACGTGAGGTTTTCATAAAATGATATCATTTTCAGGACTGAAACAATTCTTAATGCATTTACACTACAACTTATAATTCTTCCACATGTTTTAGGGGCTGTTCCATCCTGCTCGTAAAGTACGTGATGTCTACTGGAAAATTTATAATTCTTTATATATTGGTGGACAAGATGCCTTAGTAGCTGGTTATCCAAGAATTCAAAATGACCCAAAGAATCAATATATTCGTTATGAATTAGACTATATCTTGTAAATACAAATGCTAAATCCATGGAACTTTGTATAGTGTCAGACCTCTAGATTAATGCTATGAAGTTAATGTGTGCTTATAGTGTCATTCAACGGGAACAAATTTGTCAGTGTTACCTAAAATAATTTCATTACGCATACTTTTCTTATTCTATTTCATTATGGGACGGGGGGGTTAAATAGTTAAACACCATATTTTAATAAGCTACATGTTTGGAGACTAATGGAAATTGAATATCATAGATGTTCAGGCATTGACTAGAGTTGATGATGGAATCAAATCATCATTGTAAATAAGTTTGAGTTCTAGTTACAAACTAGAACTATATCAATAAAATTTATTCTGTGAAAACAAAGCATGTCCTGTTATTATCCATTCCAAAATAAATTTATAGTTTTAATTTTATTTCATAGCCCATTTGTGTGTAATATCTATGAGTATGAGGATCGTTTTTTGAATGATTATTCAATTGTAGTAATTTTGCACATTGTATCAACTTCATTAAAGTTTTGTATAAACAGTGCAGTGTATCATTACTTAATGTCAGATTTGCTTTATAATATTTATGCGAATTTCTGATCCTTTCCTCTTCAAGCAGTTATCCTTGTGAAACAAATGTGTGTGTGTGTGTGTGTGTGTGCGCGCGCGCACGCTTTTTTGTATGAGTGAGTGGTTGAAGAAAAATAATGAAGATTTTGTAAGAAATTATTATTTTGCTTAAATTTTGTCTAATATTTTCATATAATAAACGTTTTGTGAATCCTTATTTTTCATCACTACTGTGTTTATAAAGTAAATTGTGTCTAAACCAGAACCTGTACAAGCTGGAAATCTGTCTTAACCACAAAATTTTTCTAGCACATGAAGCTAAACGGCATTTTACACAGCTTATAGCGGAATCTGTCGAATGTGGAGCTTTTTTCATGTCCTGCAGGGGGGGGGGAACGTAATAAAACAGAATTTAAGCAGTTGGCGGAGGGACGTGAAATATTCCTCGTATGTATGTATCTCCTTATCTGTTTTAAAACTGTCCCAGTGGCAGGCTATTATAGTCATGGCAGCTACGCAATGAGTCTGAGGTGCTTCAGCTGTCAGCATAGAACTTGACCTTGGACTAGCTAGTCTGTCAAATTGTAGGCCACAGGAATTCCTTCCCTCCAAATACTCTGAGCATGGCAAGGTGTGTTGTTAGGCTTCTATTCACGCATGTCCCTATCCTGTGTTGAGAATTGTAACCCTTAGTGCAGAGATGAATTGTGTAAGGCCATGAGTGTGTATCAGATTGCAATAGTACTCTGGCTGTGAAGCATTGTGTTGAAAGTGTGGGTAATCAATCTGACTGCAGGCACTAGAGATGGTGTGTAATTTTATGAGTTTTAACAGTGGTTGGAAAATTTCATGCATCTCTAACCTTATATGAAAAGGTGAAACGTATAGAAGCAAATTACTCTCAGACTAAATGAAAGCCCTTCAAGAATAATTCAAGTGCAGAAAATAATAAAATTAAACCTTAAACAAGTGTAGAAAGTCTGCAACACACAAAAAAGGATGAAATAAAGGCTTGGCTGGATGGAAGGTATGCATTCATTTGATGACATTTTTTCAAAGATTGGACACTTGTTAATTTCTTATGGAAAATTTTGAAAATGTTGAGTTTACAGTTGTGGGAACATGGGACAAAAAATAATGTATTTGCATAACAAAATTAAACGGTATGTTTTTGTGTACTATATAAAAATAAATACACAAAAAACTAGTACCTATTACAACATAAATTAGTAAAAAAAAAACAAAAATGTAAAAATTGAAGGTCGTAAAATGTATTCTTACACTCGGTTTTTAACCATTGTAAATGCTGTTTAATGTTTAGTTGGAAGTATTCTTGAGTTTGATGGACTCCAATCATCTAGGCACCCACTGAACGATTTTAGTGGTTATCTTCTTCCAAAATAGCAGCCTTTTGTTTGCTTTGGCAACTCCATAAATGTTCCATTGGATTAATATCTAGGGACTGAGAGAGTAACCATGTATTTTGGTGTCTACAATAATCCACAATCACGAATACGAGGGTTGCCTTTTATATTTCAGGATTAGATAACAAAAACAAATATTAATCATCGAAAATCACTTTATTGTTTTTCAAAATATTCCCCATAAAGATCTATACACTTTTGCATGTGTTTGAACCAATTGTCGAAGCACATTTGCCACTCTGATTGAGGTAACTACAAAACGCATTCTGAATGCAGCAACCGCTTCTTCAGGTGTCGAAAAACGTTGACCTTTCAGTTTTTTACGTACGGGAATAAAAAGTCATTCAGTGCCACGTCAGGTCTATACGGCGGATGACTCAACAATTCGATGTTTTGGGTGCTCAAAAAAGCAGTTGTTTGAGCCGATGTGTGAGAGTCCGCATTGTCGTGGTGAAGAGTGATCCGTCTTCGGCGGTTGATTTTTCTGATTTCTTGGAAGACAGCTGGCAAACAAATCGTTGTGTGCCACTCAGAATTGACTGTTCTAGTGGTACGGGTGAGACATGTCCAGTTTTTTTTTCGAAAAAACGACCATTGTTTGAAAGTGCTTCGTGCGCGAACAACTTTGTTGAATTTTGCTCATCTTGAAACACCCATACAGTCGACTGCTGTTCACTTTCGGGCTCATACGCGTAAATCCAAGATTCATCACCTGTCACGATGTCATAGACGTGTTTCGAAGCACCCCGATCGTATTTTTTTGAGCATTTCTTTCGACCAATCGACACGAGCCTTTTTTTGAGCGATTGTGAAATTGTGTGGGATCCAACGCGAACAAATTGTTTTGATAGTCAAATGTTCATGCAATATTGAATGTATGCTGGTCCCACTAATGCCTAAGGTTGTCTCAATCTCACGATAGGTTACATGACGATATTGCAATATCAGTTCACGCACAGCATCAATGGTTTTCGGAACAACTGATTTTGGACGACCTTCGCGAAATTCGTCTTGGAGTGAACTACGACCACGATTGAATTCACCATACCATCGATAAATACTGTTCGTTGACCGAGCTTCATCGCCAAAATTGAATTAAGTTCATCCATGCACTGTTGCTGAGTTAATTCACGTCGAAAGTTGCAAAAAATAATCGCACGAAAATGTTCACGATTTAATTCCATTTTTGGTCCAACATGAATCTTTTAAGTTACTGTAAACAACACAAATAGCGCTCGTACGTCAAAACGTTCTGAGTACGTATAACCTCAAAACATCCAACTTTACGATAGAGCTGTCAGTTGCCAGATTGCAACTCCAGGGTTGCTAAATCCCGAAACATAAAAGGCAACCTTCGTATAAAGCCATGTGCTTCGTAGCAGTATTTTGCATGAAAACATCCGTTTGCCAGTCTCAATTTGTCGGCACTTGATGGTAGATTGTTCTCGAGTGTGTTAATATAACTTATCCATAATACCATGAATAAATTCTAATGTTCCTACCCAGGCTGCACTCGTGCAGCCCCAAACCATACTACCTCTATCAGGTTTCACCATAAACTGCAAGTAGTTCAATACGAATGTGTCAGGGCTGCCCTCTGCGCCCTTAGAAACACTCCCATCGAAAAAATACATCGCGAATTGTCAATGCCACTGCTGATAGATCCTATCAAAAATATCGTTTAAGACTTGTTTGAAAAAGCAGCTGACTCAGAAAACCCTCTCATTCCGAGATCGCCTCATACCAACCCGATCATGGATCACTTATAGGCGTCCGAAACACTTCCTGGAGAAAGAGTAATCGGAAACAGAGAAATGAGACTTGAAACATAAACTTGGTATTTCCAAACACGCAATGTGCGCGCCAGTAGGCTAAGTCAGTTTTGACCTTCTGTTTTTCTTCATGTTGCAGTATTGGCCATAGATTCCCGTAAGGGTAGGAATGGTCTCAACGCTGTGGCGTGAACGTGCATTGCACTTTCCATGCGTTTACTAAACTGCACAAAGAACTCTTGGATCTTCCTGGCTTCCAATCTGACGCATTTTAAAAGCGCCCTGTTGTACATTCTAAGATATACTATTATTTGTCCAACGAGAGAACGAAGTGGATGTGAACATTGCCACGTGGGTAGGAGGTCACTGACTGGCTGCGGGTCCACAACACATTCATCCTTGGACACTAGCGTACTAAAATAGTTCCGTACTATCCAAGTAAATGCTCGTAAAATACAGTAGAAAACAAGATGTGTGCGTCTCAAATAAGTATAAATTTACGTTATATGATATGTGTTACATGTATGATACGTGTTACTTTAAAGAAAAGGGGTAAACGAAGATACATACCAAGCGAAGTAGTTTCGATGTAATGGCGGACCATATAACACAAGATCACTTGTTTAAAGTTGTAGGTAATTGATTGTGTTCGATACCTGGCTTTGAGTGTATTCTGTGTAGTCTATTTTTAATTAAAGTACTATGACAATCATCTCCACCGTCATCAACCATCACCGTCAACGTCTGAAATTGTAAAACTTTGCAAGAAAAGCCGACAAAATGCCATGGCGGAACAACTCCTGTTTTAAACTTATTTTAAAAATATTCATTACGCAAGAATACAGAACCTGCAATTGATAGAACATTTCTCAGATCAGAATGAACGATTTTTTTTCTTTACACGTAAGAAACGAAGCAATGATAGATTACTATAGTGCTGTACCAATTTTAGGTGTACACACAATAAAAATCACTATGCCAAATGCGAGATGACCTGGAAGCGTTTATTGTCGTGAGCAAAAGTTTCGTGTCATCTTATCGACAACGTTTATAACAACTATCCCGCGGAACTTCATGCAATTGTATATTTTTACTGATTGCGCATATCGAAAGGAATGTATATAACTTTACCTATAACCAAAAATTAAACGAATCTAGCCCTTTTTTATTTTGCATATTCCTGAGATTTTTTCCTTTAACAGCATATTTTAATATAGGCGCATATTTAAGTGCATATACTACAAGTTTTTGTGTAGAAGTAGGTCGAAGTCGAATATTTCCATGCATTTCTCTTTCAAAAAAGTGAATTAAACCATACCAATACTACAATACCAACATAATACTTCCGATAGTATTCTTATAAGATCGTTTTCCCTTCGAATATACTTCCTCTTACTTATTTGTGCGCATGAACTTAGTGAAATGGGCTAAATTTTTCGGCATCTTGTAAAAATGCTATAAGTTCTCTCGCTTAATAATTCTGTTTGTTTAATATAATGTTAGATAATATATTTTTATTACATGCAATTTGTAGTACAGTGTAAAATGAAGATTCCCTATAAATAAATGTTAAGTATATTATTGTTTAACGCATTTTCTTTGTTTTAAGCGCATATTTAGGCTATTTTATGGTCATGGTTGCATTTATATTTTTAACTTCTTTAATGCATGAAGCTACGGAGTTTAATAATTACTGTTTATTTATTTACGTCAAAAACAGTTAAAAACTATGTATGACGAGCTATGGGGAGAAGCTAGTTTGATATTACATTTATGTCCAGAAGCAAAACAAGAGGCCATCTCGGCATTTACTCGAGGATCAAGAAAACTGAACGAAAACCTGATCGAGATGGGGGTCAGAAGCTGAAGTACAATACTTGTTACAGGTTCTTTAAAATTATACAATCCAAATGGTAAATAATACATTAAATGTCATTGTTAAAATTAATTTTCTTTTTCTTTTGGATGCTCGATATATATATATATATATAGTCTCTAATTGAGTAGAAACAGTTGTGC